TGGATCAAACTTGGCACAAATACTCAATATGCCCAAAAGTGAACACTGGTGGAGTTTGGGGGAAATAGACCTTGACCTCCTCCAAGTTCCAACAATTGAATTGAACCAAACTTCCCACACCGAATCTCCATGACCAACAGAAAATGTTCTTTAGTGACCCCTCTGACACCCCCTAGTGACCCCCTGGTTGAGAAACGCTGCTGTAGTTTGTATGATAAGGACCTATGATAAAGACCTATGGTTTGGGTCACAACCTGTGTCTTACTGTGCTTCCTGCATTCTGTTCTCATTCCTACAGTAACGCAACTGTACATGAATACTAGTGGCTTTAATGTTGTACTCCATCGGTGCATCTGAAAAACTGAATTGGGATCACAAAAGCTCATGGTAAAATAACTAAATGAGCACAGTGTTCCCTACTCCCCATTTTCTTATATATATATAAAATCAAGTGATGTTGAATCCATTTATTCCACTAGAGGGTGCTCTGGTTATTTACATAGATTTTTTCCCTAAAGATTTGCCAGCCTCCTAAGGGGGAACACACTTGTCAATTGCAAAAATATGATAGGTTGAACAGGGCAACTGAGAAACAAAGGAAAAGTATCAACACATGCTGAGGCTGAGAGAATCACATCACTGCCCTAAAAGGAAAACCTCAACCTTTTGATAAGAACCATGTGTTTTTAGTAACCATTCAAAATATTTACTAACTAGTGGAAAAGAGGAACATAAATATGTAGGGAACGCTTTGCAATATTCTGCTTGGAAGAAATGGCTAGGTGTTATCTTGAATAGCAACGCTTCTATGAATAAATGAAGAAACTGGATTATCTGTGTCCACACTGCCAAATAATCCAGTTCAAATAAGATAATCTGGGTTTTATATGGCAGTGTAGAAGGGGCCACAGACAATATGGGGAGACTAATACCAAGTTGGGTTGCTGTAAGTTTTTGGTGTTGTATGGCCATGTTCCAGAAGCATTCTCTCCTGACATTTTGCCTGCATCTATGGCAGGCACCCTATTACCTTTACAGGACTGTTGATTTTGTTAAATCATGTATGTCAAGTGCTTTGAATAACTGAAAGTGGCATTAATTCGACACAAAAGGTTCTTAAATGTTAATTTAACTATTCAGGGTTTATGTTAATTCTAATAATGGCTAGCTTAAAACTAGAGTTTATAGTTCTGAAAGCATGGCTACTATTAGGATGCAATGAGTTGGCCAATGCATCTGCTAATATTTGTTTCTCCACTGCATGAGGAAGTTGCAAGTGAAAATACAGGTTTATTTGTTTACATGCTCAAGTTACTCAAGGTAGGGAAAAATACAATACAGGGGAGCAGTGGTTTGTAGTGACCACAGAACCGTTGGTATATATTTCTAAACATAAGTTTAAGTAACTAACTTTAATGTAAATTGCCAGCGCTTTCAACTCAAACTCATTGTTACCTCAGACCAACAATACAAACAACAATCATAGAATCATAGAATCAAAGAGTTGGAAGAGACCTCATGGGCCATCCAGTCCAACCCCCTGCCAAGAAGCAAGAATATTGTCCTTTGAATCAGAAATTATTTTTTCATTAATCAATGTCCTTGATACTTGAATAAAACAGTGAATAATTAATGAAAAAATTGAAGTTTCTGAACCATTTTCAAAGGCAGCCCCACGTAGAGCTCGTTATAGTAATCCAGGTGGGATGTATTCAAGTCATGTACCACAGTGGCAATAATGGATGTTTCCAGGAACAGTCACAGTTAATGCATCAGTTTAAGTTGTGCAAAGGCAATCCTGGTAACCTCTGCCATCTGGGCTTCCAGATTTAGAGAGGAATCCTTAATCACCCCCCTCCCAAACTGTGAACCTGCACTTTTTGGGGGGAGGGTGTAACCCCATCTATCTCCAGTTTTAGCCCTATTCCCTGATCTAGCTTACGTAATGTCAGTAGTACCTCCGTCTTATTTGGGTTCAGTTTCAATATGTTTACCTTCATCCAGCCCATTACTGCCTCCAGGCATTGGTTGAGGAACAGCACAGCTTCCTGGAAAAAGAGTAGTAGAGTTGGGCATCATCTTTGTACAGGCGATATCAAACGCCAAAACTCCGGATGATCTCTCCCAGGGGTTTCATGTAGATATTAAATAACATCAGAGAAAGTGATGAGCCCTGTGGGACCACAAAGTCTAATGGCCATGGGGTCGAGCAGGACTCCCCCAACACTACCTTCTGGCTGTAATCTGAAATAAAGGACTGGGATCATTGCAAGACAGTGCCCTCTCAGCTTTTCCCTGCTGCCTTCCATCTTGCTAAGCATTTCAATCTTCATTAGTAAAGACAACTAATGCTTTGTAATGTAGACTGCAGTAGGAAAATTCCTAATTTTGAACTGGATTATATGTGTCTACACTGCCATATAATCCCATTCAAAGCAAATAATCTGGATTTTATATGGCAGTGTAGAAGGGGCCTTAGTTAGTTGTAACCTAGGAAGATCCACATATATCCCTATAAAAGATATGCCTCCAACCCAAGGAAAGGGAATTCAACAGGGAAAGCTAAGGATGAATGAGGAAAGCTAAAATGCCATTCAACTGTATTTTACCAGATGTAACTTTTGTAATACAATTGTGAAGAAAAGTAAATCTTTTAAAAAAAAATCAAGGAAGTTACAGCCCCGAATCTGCAATACCTGAGCAATACTGTTGATGACAATAACTTGAATCTCTCTTATTTTGATGGGTCATCATACATAAAAGTTGATTTAATGGCAGTTAATAACAGCATCTAAGGTGGTCCTTGGATATGAAAGGCAATTATTTTCTTTCCTGAACTAAAAAAACCTGCTGTTTCACTGATGTACCATAACACTATGAAGTCTCCTTTAGAAAAGAAGAAAAGGAAAACCAAAAGGAACATATTGTTCTGATTTGGAATCAAAAATAAACTCACTTGTGGGTGAGAATACAATGGTGCTATGAATTGCCAAAAAATAATCTGGGACAATAGAAACTTCATTTTTCTTATTTTTTTAATATAAAAAAACATAATTACAGAGATCTGCAGGAACTAATAGCATGACTTGCCAACACATTTTAGTCATCTGAAGAAATGCTGTTGAGAATATCCCAACGAGGAGGAAGCAAGCATTCACTTATTTCTAGAAAGCTAGAGGGAATCGATTCTAAAGCAGACAGTGTTTGGGGGTCATAGGGCAGCCCTGAACCCATTATAGGAATTTCTGACAACCACATATTTGCCCATGGGCATCAGGTATGTAAGCAAACGAGATCAAGGATGGCTGTAGCCCATGGACTTCATGTTGCCGTCTCCTGTTTTGGAACATTGTGGTGAAATTCTTGGAGGAAAATGGATGAGCAAACAGTCTCCCTTTTCGAATCCTCATTAATTTGGTAAAAAGCTGTATTTTCAGTGTTCCCCTTCTGGGCCTTGGGGCAATGCCAACACAAAGAGGTCTTCTTGTCTCATAATAACAAGAGTGTCTGCCCTTTGTCCGCTCCCAATGTGAAAGGCCACTTCCAAGACAAGGGCAACTCTTGTGTGGAGCAATTATCTCCCTGGCAGTAAGCCATCCAATAAATAGACCATACTTACAATTTGAGAAGAAAAAATGAAAGAGGCCAAACAACAGAACAGGCAAACTTCCTACTACACATCTCTGAAGTCATGAAAACAGGGAATCAACAGTACTAGAGACAACAGAAAGCAGGAGGTTTCAAACCCTGTTCTACTCTTTTCATTTCCTAAAGATTTTTGTTTGGAGGTGATTTTTAACTGCAGCCATAGGTTTGTCCAAACTTACAACTTTCCAAGGAAAGTCTGTTTTATATAACCTGCCTTTCTCCTACAAGTTAGATGCAAGGCAGCTCACAATTTGATTAGAAAGGAGGAAAGTACAAATGTAAAACGATATTGTTAATAGGTTGCTGTGAGTTTTCAGGACTGTATGGCCATGTTCGGGAAGCATTATCTCCAGAAGCATCTATGGCAGGCATCCTCAGAGGTCGTGAGGTCACAACCTCTGACTGCTCTTAAGAGTCTTTGGGGGGGGGGGGGCTAGCTCTTAGTCTCCGGCGTGCTCTAGTGGTTTAAATGTTGGACTACAAATCTGGAGACCAGCATATAAATCTTAGCTCAACCATGAAATCCACTGGGTGACCTTGGGCAAGCCATACCCTTTCAGCCTCAGAGAAGGCAATGACAAACATTTTCTGAACAAACCTTGCTAAGAAAACCCTGTGATAGGATTGTCGTACATTGGAAATGGGTTTATGGTATCCAACGGTGATTAAAATCCAATTTGACCAAAAATTCACTTCTATAAATGTAGGGTGGCATTGGGAATACCTTCACAGTAGGGTAGTCCTCCTGGGTTGACCCACCAAGTAGCCATTGTCATTGGTGGCAGAACAGGAGGGCCACTGGATATGGATCAGAGCCTCCATTCTGACCATTGAAACGTGCATCATGACATTTACAATACTTGGAACTTTGCTCTATATTGATGTCACCTCCCCGGTACTGCTGAGAGTAATTATTTTGCATGTGTCTCTTTGGTGGCAGGAATCACTGGACGTTCACCTTGCTGTTCTTTCTACTTTGCAGTGACTGGTCCTGCTGCCACCACCCAATGCAGGCAAACATATTTGGTAGTCTCTCTCCACCAGAACAAATCTTGGAAGGAACTGGTTCCATTGTAAACAAAGTAAGTGTATTCAATGTAGGTAAAAAAACCCTGTGTCTCTACCAGCTACCTCCTCCCAACTATTTTAAGGTAATATTTCATCTGGAAGTAGTCCAAAAATTAAGCAAACTGACAGCAAACATAAGATGGATCATGAGGGTGACTATCAGCCCATGAAATTTCCCACCCCCTACTTTAAAACTTTGTTTCATATGACCTTCAGTGGCAGCTAGAACAGAATCCAAAATGAAAAAATGCCCAGAGAATTTAAAAGAATACAATACACAATGCTTTAGGAATGCTTTTTTAATGCAAAACGAGCTTTCAGAAAGATAATACAGCCAAGGAGAGGGACTTGTGAAACATTTTGTGTTCTAAAGAGCAGTAGCACAGATTAATACAATATTTGTGAAGCTGAGGTTACCTGACAAAATATCAAGATTTAGGGTAGACGAGTGTCAGGGAAATTAGGCTGTGAGAATTTTCAACTTGTGAATACAGCAAGAGGACGGCCAGTCCCAAAATGATGAGTTGCAGCACTTTCTCTGCTATTTTTCCACAAACCACCAGTAAGTGTGTTAAAATAAGTATGTTTTCAGTGCAGTTAGGCGCCCCCGACGGTGCACTGGGTTAAACCCCTGTGCTGGCAGGACTGAAGACCTACATGTCGGAGGTTCAAATCTGGGGAGAGAGCAGATGAGCGCCCTATGTCAGCTCCAGCTCCCCATGTGGTGATATGAGAGAAGCCTCCCACATGGATGGTAAAACATCCAGGCATCCTCTGGGCAATGAACTTGCAGACAGCCAATTCTCTCACGCCAGAAGTGACTTGCAGGTCCTCAAGTCACTCCTGACATGAAAAAAAATCTAATTAAATGAAGATTAAACCTAATTTCTTTCATATCGCACACAAATAAAAGCAAGAAATCGCAGGATGGGAATTAGAGAGCAGGAAATAATAAACTGCAATGCCATAATCTTTTCTCTTCCATGGATTCCAGTGCCAGCGTGAGTTCAGTCCTGAATTTCAATTCATTTCAATCATCTGAAAGGAAAGAAAGGAGGAGGGGGAGAGATTTTAGGGAACAGAATATCCGGCCTGGACTATCAGAAACTTCATAGAGTCATCACGGCTGTATTCATACATACCTGCTTAATCCAGGACCATACACCCAGATGGTTCTGCTTGTCCCCTTGCTGACCTCTATTATTGTCCATTTGATATGACCACAACTCCCCTCTGGCCAAAAATCTCTCTGCAAGCTCCTGCCCATCCCCTGTCATACGTACTAAAATCATAACAAGCCACCTGCACAATCTGCAAAGTTCTGGCAAAGTGAGACCCTCCTTCCTTGCTGGATACATGTGTGCCTTTTTCTGACTTCAGGAGATGTGACAGGCAATGTCCAGGTGCTCACAGGCAACTCTATGGTCAGGGAGAATGGCAACAGCAACAAGGGCATGAGTCACCTTCTTCCCATACACTGATCAACACAGAGAAAATGTGATAGTGAAGTGTCCATCTGACAAAGGATAGGCCAAAATAGTCCCGATCCAAATATCCGGGTGGCTGCAAACCCATGAATTATTGTGGAGTTTCTTGAATATCCCCCAGCTTTGCTTAAAGTATGGTTGAGTTGTATTAAGGTCAAAAGACTCAAAATATTTACCAGAAGTCATCACATTTCAGGTAGATGCTAGCACTGTATCTGAGGTGAGTACATTTTTTTTGTAGGCAAACTCAAAATTAGGATACCAAGGGCAATTTAATTCAGTCCATTGTCAGTGCAAGAATCCATGGCTAAAGCACCCCTAAAAGGCAGTCAACCTGTGTTTATAAACTTCCAATGAAGGAGAGAGACCATCAGTTTCTGAGGTGGCTTATTCTACTGTTCAACAGCTCTCACCATCAGCAAGTACAGTACTTTGATACTCAGGTGGAATTTAATTGATTGTCTGAATAATCATTATCACATAATATTTCTAAGTAATGCACAGCTGATATCATTAGTGATACATCCTCCTAGTTGTTTTCTTTTTGAAAAACATCTTGTTCATTATTGATTAAAAGAAATGAAAGTCAAATGTTTCAAAATGCAAGTATATTTAACAACAATGCATTACACTAAAAATACTAACCTTGGATAGAAACATTTGTTATTGATAAAACAGCACCCTTTGTTTCTGCATGCTCTTTGTCTTATCCCTTGCCATCCGCATTGTTGTTTCTGTGTTACATTTCCATTACATCTTCCTTCTATTCAGGAAAAAAGATGAAGAAATCAAGAGTCAGGGTAGAAGGTGTTTTCATTTTAGGTTCAATTAACTGTATCTTTGCTCAGGCTCCTCCTACACTACCCTATATCCCAGGTTCTGATCCCAGATTATCGGATTTGAACTGGATTATATGAGTCAACATTGCCAGATAATCTGGGATAAAAAGATAATCTGGGATCGGTTCCATGGATATGGGGAAGTGAGTGATTCTTTGTAAACTTCTGAAAACAAAACAGTAAATAAAAGGGAGAGAACCAACTCATCTGAGTTCTGTGGATGACTTGAACTGCCAAAAGAATTAATGTATAGATCTGAGGATGGATCTACACTACCCTATAACCCAGGATCTGATCCCAGATTATCTGTTTTGAACTGGAGTGTATGAGTCTACATTGCCAGATAATCTGGGATAAGAAGATAATCTGAGATCAGATCCTGGGGTATCAGGCAGTGTAGCTCCAGCCTGAGAACAAATCAAGCCCGAACTGTCAACTGGAAGAAAAACTACTAAACTGGGACGTTACGCTTTGGGCATAATCTTACAGGATATATTAATTAAATAGTAGCTGTTAATGGGTGGCTTTGGGAAATAAGGAATTAATATTATAGATATTTTGATTTAATGAAGGAAGCCGTGGCCCCGAGTTTGTAAGGTATGAGCTGGGCTGTCGAAAAGCCAGGCATCATGTAGATATATCATTCATAGGAGCACCATAATAAATTAAAGGCTTGATGCCAAAAAAACAAAAACAAAAAAGCACCCCAGCAGCCATAACACAACAGAGGTGTCCCGCTCTCCCTAACCCCATCTACAATTCCATGTAATCCAGTTTGAAACTGCATTATATACTCCAGGCAATTCATATAGGGAATGAATTAGACTGGCTCCTTCCCTGATGATATTTTGCAGGAAATTAAAGACTTGGTTGTTCAAGAAGGCGTTCGAACAAGAAGTGTAATTATTGGTAATGACTATAGGAATGGAACAACGGAAAATGATACTGGATTGTGATTTGGACGATGAGACGCCGCCGAATGGTTTTCGTAGTAATGATGATGTTTTTGTATAATGCTGGATTGTGAATTGTTTTTTATACTGTGTCTTGAATTTTGTTCTTCCTATGTTGTAAACCGCTGTGAGTCGCCCCCGGGCTGAGAACAGCGGTATATAAGCAAAGTAAATAAATAAATAAATAAATAATGCAATTCAGTGCCATTACACTACATTATATGAGTCTGCACTAACCATATAATGGAGTTTCAAACTCGATTACATGGCAGTTTAGATGGAGACCTAGTTCAAGATTGTGTAAATATGGTATCAATTGCCCACCTATGTGCCTCCACAAATGCTGGAAGTTCTCCCCTTCCCTTTCCAAGGCTTCTTGGCATCCTTTTGGAATGCCAGGAGCTCTGGAGAAGCTTTGTACCTTGGCTCTGAGATTTATAATGTACGTTTGAGGGTGAAACGAGGGCCAAGGAGGGAAGGGTGGCACTGACATCCCTCTTCCCTAGGCTGCCTAAACCCACTGAGGGGGATGACTATGAGGACTGCCCCCAGAGGGATTCCCCACACACCCCATACCTGGAAAGATGTGGACCTTCCTGGAAAGTATGGATATTTCCAAGTATATTTTAAACTACCTCAGACATCCCTGTGCATATGAAGATTGGTTGGAGCCATGCAACATAGGATGGGGCTAAATATGTAACTCTTCTCCAAGAGCCTTTCAACATGATTTATTCCAATATCTGAGTAACTTGAGAGTTTTCATTTTACAAGATCTTTAGCTTTCTCTGCCAAAAGGTGCTGATGCCTCACCAAACTCCAAATTCAATGATTGAACTATGGCAGTTAAAGTGGTGTCAAACTGTATTCATTCTACAGTGTAGATGTACCCAGGGAAGCTTCTGGGGCTATGAAAATAATTGAAACAGGGAGCTGAGGGATTGCCCTGTTTTCTTTTTGTTCTGCTTCAGTTTTGCCATTAAGAAATGTATGGCAAGTTTTGTACCAAATCTAGGGAGGGAAAGAGGATTAGCTTTACAGAATAGGCACAAAACATGAACTCAAACCAATATGAGGTCTTCTGAAGAGTTTTAAAAGCAATGGCTGGTATTAAATATTGTAATTACAGATTTTTAATATAGAGTTGTAGGACTGTGACTGTTCTCTGTTCTGTAAGGCTGTGGCTGGGTCTACACTGCTGTATAATCCAGTTTCTGAGTCCAGATTATCTCATTTGAACTCGATTACATCAGTGTAGATAGGGCCTATGTAGCCTAGATGTTAACCTACATGAATGCCACTTCAGTCCACTTTAACAGCTAACAGACAGATCAAGCAAATGAGGTGTGTTCTATAAGGAAAATAAAAGGAAAATAATGTTTCCATACCCTCCCTCCCACAGGCAAGTAATTAGAAGCAGGTCCCTGTTGCATGACCTTTTTGCATTCTTTCTACTAGGAGTGGAATGATCCTCCTGTTACGACCTCGTTATACGGTCTAGGTGGCATAAACTGATCTAGCTCTGGTCATTCATGGAGCTGGCCAGCTACTAATAGACAACATTGTGCCGGCTCCGTGGGTGAAGTAGGGTGGAACTGGCATGCCGCCATGACAAAATGGGACACTTCTAGAGTTATAGGACTGTGACTGTCCCCCCCCCCCCTTGTGTGATCACTTTCCCAGTGATGCAGGCAATGCGAGGCATGGGGTGCTGCATTCCCCACACCTCCTGCCACTGGCCATCTGATGAAGTCGCAAGTGATTGGAAGCTGAATTGATCTTTCACTCAATCCTGTGACTGGCTCTTAAGGTGGGCTGGAGGGTGGGGCTATGAGACATTATTTAATTACACAGATATAACTAAATAGCAGATCTAGAATACCCATGGCTGAGAGCAATTAAAAATAATCATTTACGGGATGGACGCTGTGGACGCTGTGGACGCTGTGGACGCTGTGGACGCCGAGGTGGTTGACAGAACCGGGCTTCTGCCAGGGTGCTGAATACCATAATGAAGGCAAGAGACAGGATGCAGAGCCATTTGAAGTTCATGCCTGGTTGGGATCTTCAGTCACTTATCTATTTGAGAATTTTAAATCAATGGTACGTCACCAGAGGCTGGATTTGTTCCCTGTGGAGAAAGGAGTTAGAAAATTAGGACATGTTGCTAAATGCTGAAATATTCTTATATGTGGGATCCGACCTGGAGTGGAATTAAAAATTTAATTCCACAAAAGGCAAGATTGGAGCTTTGCATAACAGAAGTTCCAGTTTAGGTTGTTGTTTGGAGGTGTGCACCAGGCATGTAGCCGGGGGGGGGGGGGGGGCTCGGGGGGCTTCAGCCCCCCCCAAAAATTTCATGGTGGTTCGCGAAAAGGCCTTAATGGTGCATTATTTAAACTGTTATGTTTATTCATATCATGATCTGATCACCATACTCAATATATCCATATGCATTGGGGTATTGGGGTAATGATACAAAAGGTTTGCTAGGCTAGACCCTCTTTCACTCAGACTCAGCCCCCCCCCAAAACTCAGCCCCCCCCGAAACCCCCCCTGAAAAAAATTCAGCCCCCCCCCGAAACGAAATCCTGGCTACGGGCCTGGTGTGCACTAATTACTTTTAGCTTGCTTCAAAGTTCTTGTTTCTCTGAGTTGGCCAGGAGCAAGTTCTCATTACTCAACTTTAGTGTTATGATGCTCTTTAACTGCCATGTTTTTATTACACAGAATGAAGTTATGGCAGTTCAAGTGGAATCATAGTGATATCGAGCTCTTTTGGGGGGCTTCTCCCAGTGAAGGAGATCCCTGGAGACCGCTAAAGGGGTCCC